AAAAAAAAAAAAAAAAAAAAAACTTTCGAGTTGATAAATCACTTGGAAACAAAAATCTAGCTTTCACAAAAAATTAGACCATGCATTTTTTACGTCCTCGAGTGATGTATTTCGTTGTTTATTTTTAAGATCTCACTTGAGCTCGTAATATATGGGCTCTCAATTGTTGTAATCGAGACCGAGGCACATTTTTTATGCTCAGCTTTTTCTGAATTTTCTAAATAAACACATAAGTAGCCACAATTTTTTTTTTCAATCGTGAAAATTCAGTAGGTATAGAAAAAATTTTCATCTTGCGAGCGTCAATTCATCGCTTCTTTTCTCTCTCTCTCTCTCTCTCTCTCTCTCTCTCTCTCTCTAGAACAAAATTAACGATAATCCCCTCGATTGATCCGTCCATCTCATCCATCGCGAATTGCGAGTAATTACGCGATTGAATTGAATTGAAGCCAGTACACGTCAAGAGAGAGAGAGAGAGAGATACGATTAAATCACAAACGAAAGGATGTGAAAGTTGAATGACGAGAGTACAGCGTCGTATATACGTGCGGCTTGTCATCCGTTTGCCGCTGTCTGTTACGCTACGATGAATTTAATTTGAATTCCAATAGGCCAGTCTAGCGTCTATCATTTTTAATGCATACTAATTTTTTCGGCTTCTTTGTGGTATAATTATCTAATCTGTTGGATATTGGAGTATTAGAAACGAACATTCATGTGGCAATTTTTAAAATTTTTTATGTTAATTAAAAAATGCTGAAGTTAGAAGATAGCCACTACTTTTTTCGGGCTCCTTGAGATATAACAACCTGATATGAGAGTGTTAGGAACGAATATTTAATATTTGCAAGTGACCGATTCGAAATCTGTTCAATTTTAATTTTTATGTTTAAAACAGGGTATGCTGACTATTACAACATAATAATTGTGCATATTTTTTTATATTCTTTGAAGTGAGAAGACACACAATGTTTATGTAATATTTATATTTAATTTGTGTTGTTTAGTAAACCACCCAAAATATGTAACTGTGCACAACCCGTGCTCATATTTTACACCGTAATCGGCAAATAAGCTCGTGATCGAACACGACAACAAACAAGGGCGCGCAAAAGTATTTTTCACTTTGACATTTATTAGTCCCCCCCCCCTCCCGGAAATTGGGTTAAACACTCTCTAATGTTACACGAGAGAAAGGAGCGCGAGGGCAAGACGCGCTCTGAAATGTAAATTGCGCCGATACGAATGGCTTCGCGTCCTTCCGCGTTTTCTCCCCCCAACGTATACCGTCGCATCAGGTATATATTTATGCGCGCCGACGCACAGTGCACTCGGATGAATTAAAAGCGCAAAACGCGAGAAAGAAATTGAATCGCAATTATCGCGCGATATACGCCTCGTTCGGTATAATTCGAAGCTTCTCTCCCGTATACAGCTACACCGGCAACTTTCATTTCCAACTTATCCAATTATTTGACGCAAGCGGTACAAGTGCACTCGAAGGCGCATCGAGTTCGAGAGCCAATTTTCTTTTCGAATCGATGCCAATGGGGGATGTTTTATACATATGCTTTTTCTCCCTTCCCACTAACTCGCGCTGCAAAGCATGTTTTTCTTCGGGTAAAGGTGTCCGTGTTATTTTTCCTCCGATTAGATCTACCATGTACAGCCAAAGTGACGAATCGTCCTTTATCGGCTAATCCCCTCCCGACCTCCCGTCGCTCGCTCCATTGGCTAAGCGTATCAATCAATGATATCGCGATGCGGCTAATTTCAACACCTCCGGGCTCTTTCGTTTCTCTCGAGCTTGTTGTCCGGCGCTCAATATTTCGTTTGGACGACGAATTTTCTTTTCTTTTTTTTTTTTTTTTTTTTTTTTTTTTTTTTTTTTTTCTTTCGTGGTGCAAGCTAATTGAACAAAATTTTTTTTAAACTTTTTGTCACATTCAATCGACAACAAAATATATATACAAGGTAACAAAAATTCGTGTGTTCTCAAGCATTGGAAAAAGCCAAACAACGTAGACCGAAAATTAAAAACCATTTGACAAGTTTGTATTTTTTTTTTGTCTTGACAATAGAAAAGTAAATGATAGAGTCTTTAATTACATTGAGAGTTGAAGATTCCATTTGGAAAAAAAAAATGTTGATATTAAAGATAGCGATAGATCACAAGTGAGTAGTTCTTAATGACACATGAAATTTTTACTCAGATAGAGTTAGTTACCAAATGTGTCCCATTGGAAAATTATTTTTCATTAGAATAGATAAACGTTTTTTGGTAATTAAAGTAATTAAAGACACTTATTTCAATTTAAAAATTGACCATCGATGATAAAATTTGACATTTGGAAAGTTACACATCGAAAATCAATTATTGAGGAGGAATGAGTTTATTTGCTATATGTACAAGACAGTTACTTTGAAGGGATGTATAATTTTACATGACTTTTGAAAAAATTTGTATTTAAAAAAAACTAAAGCTAACAGAAAGAAAGAAAAAAAAATTAACGTCTGTTTTCGTCTAAAAATCCTAATTCCTACGAGAGAAGCACACATAAACGTATCAAGAATCACTTTTACATTAAAGGCAGTTTTGTGTTTGTCTCTACCTTGATTGGGCTTGAATGCTCTTTGCCACCTTTACTTGATTTCTGCAAAACAATTGAAAGTCGTGTAAGTGTCTTTTTTTTTTTTTTTTTTTTTACCCCTATTTAATTTTACTGGAACATTATTTTCGTGTTTTGGTGTTTTTTTTTTTTTTTTTTTTTTTTTTTTTTTTTTTTTTTTTTTTTTTTTTTTTTTTTTTTTTTTTTTTTTTTTCTTCCACTTCCACCTGATTTCATGATGTTACAGCCAGCTTTTATATGGTTCTGTTAATTGATGAAGATCAAGAAAATTATTATGTGATGCAGAGAGGAAACGTTTAATTTCATTGTCACAAGTATATGTTTGAAACAAGTTTTCAAATCGTGTGAACATTGTAACAATTTAAATCAAACTCAACATATAATATATGTGTGTTAACGAATTTGCACATATGACAAGACATCAAAACGCAATGCACATCATGCACGACATAAATAAATAAAGATATTGGCATGCGAGCATGCGTGTTATATCCATGTGTTTGGTATTGAGCAGAGGGACACTTTTTTTTTAATAGACAAGGCACTGCTAGGTCTAATAAATGAGATTCTTTTCAGCGACCGATTAATGTTAGTTGCACACACAGATCCACCTTTTTTTCCATCGATTCCCGAGGCACTTGTGGAAATGAAAGCGTTTGAAAGGAGCATCAGTCGCGTTTACATAGTGTGAGAAATAAAAAAATTTTTTAAAACAAAAAAAAAAAATTAGTGACTTGACATTTCCGCCAGGAAATTCGATGAAATACAAGTGCGTACAAAACATGAAGAGCAGAAAAAAAAGTTGTATCAAAGTCACTGGAGGGGCACCTTCTTCTTTCCACGTCGTTTGCACCGACGACAGCAGCACAAAAGATTATTCTGAAAGACATCTCGTTTAGGTACATTGTGCGTGTGTATACATTTGTTTCTATTTTTTTTTTTTTTTTCCTTCTTCGTTTCGTTTGGCTCATCGCGGGGTATCTGCCATTTTTTGTCACATTCAATCGACAACAAAATATATATACAAGGTAACAAAAATTCGTGTGTTCTCAAGCATTGGAAAAAGCCAAACAACGTAGACCG